TGTTCATAATATGACTCGGGACTCGAGAGTGCTATGTTGTCCCGTACAAAAAGTTTACGATGCCTACCCTTCTTAACCTCTTTTCCAAACTGCTCATCACACTCCGATCAAAATCTACTCTCACCCATTCAATTGCACCATCCAAGTTTATTTAATTTTAGAGTTTAAATTTTGCTAGAGGTCTGCTAGGGGGTTAGGAGGTATATAAGTCTTCAATTTTTTGAACAGAGCATTGTAGGTGTCTCGGGTCATGCTATGACATTGTCGAACAATGTCACATTACCTGAGGTGTTTGGTTTTTGCACTTTCTCTTTCCCCGAGTCATTTTTTCTTTTTCATTCCCACTCTTAACATATCCTTTTTGTGTTCAAGTATATAATCTATATATTCCACCGCTTATCATTTGTGATCATTTTCCACACTTGTACCTTGAGGATAAGGTGGTTTTAGAAAGCGGGGATAGTGTTACGGATGGCCCAACACAATGACGATGAAAAATGATAATGTTCTTCATGCGGTTCTTGAACGTATCAAAGAAAGACCCAATATTTTCATTGATCTGAATTAGATTATAGCTTAGTCTATGTCTACTGAAACTGTTATCTGAATTGGTATTAGGGATCCTGAGGTTGGGTTCTAAATTTTTTATGGACATGCTCTGTAACCATAAAACAAAAGTGAACATAAAAAAGACTATATCCACACCTTTCACCTATATATTTGTAAAATCTACACTCATTAATTCAAGTTCGATATTGGTATGGATTTAACAAATTTAGGTGATAGATGTGGATATAACTTTTTTGGGAGTAACTTTAGCCTTAAAAAATACTAGAAACTCACCACGAGTGTTCCACAGATTACAATCACAGATGATTTATACATATACAAAAAATTATCGTTTGTGAACATAGACAATTACCGCCTGCGTATATATATAAAATCATTTGCGGGTTCCTAGCATGGTCCCCCAAGTAGGGCTGTAAATGGATAACCGAAAATTCGATTACCGTGCACATCCGTATCCGTTTATAAAGAAAATATTTGCATCTGTTAAAAGCGGTTATTATCCGTATCCGGTTGGTAAACGGATACAGATTTGGTAATCATATATCCGACCTATTTATAATCCGTTTCACATAGACATCCCTTTAAGTAACCATTTATCCGTATATCTGATCTGTTATATATAATATTTCCTAATTTTTTATTATTATATTTTGTTTTTCGATTGACATCTCAAATTATAAGACATTTTTATATGCAAAATATATGTGTAGACACATAAAAATATGAGTGTTGTGTATTGTGCATATCTTTTTACCGTATAGAGTTGTCGTAGAATATTATAAATTATAAAAAAAATAAGAAAAATTACTCCATAACAAATTACAATTGAATAAATAATATTTTGACTTTAATTTAATTGAAAATTAAAGTATTTTTTCATTTAACTTTAAAAATTGGAAACGGATACAGATATATCTGATATCTGATCGATATCCGACGGATGTGGATACGGTTTTGATTTTTAGTATCCTTGAAGATCTGTATCCGAATTCAATATCCAATAGAAATAAACAGATATGTATCCAATAATGGTATATCCGATCTGATTAATAATCGTTTACATTTCTACCCCCAAGTAATACTCGCAAAAGAAAGGGCGATGGGCAAATTGGTTTCTCGAGTAAGGAATCTCCAACCTCCCTCGCCGGATCCCTTTTTCCTATCGGAACATGTGGTAGTTGTTGGCGAATGGTGACTTTTAAATTCCTTTGTAGTGCAAAGTTGCATCCCCTTGTTTTTTTGGCCTTGTTTGAATGCCCAAAAGCTCCACAATCATTCATCCTTTTTACTCATCTTTTCATATTTTTTTGCCATTATTTTCATATATTTTTGCTTTTGAGTTTTGGATAGGCCCCACCGTTTTTCCTCAGGAGCTAGCTAGCTAGATTCTACAATAATTGCACAAATGAGCCTACAAATGCAACTCAGCCACATCCTCGAGGGCTTTCTCGGACCCGGCCTGTCGGTCACTGAGAAAAGCTAAATTGGATTTTTATCGTGAATTGGTGGCAAAGAGTGGAGCCTGTACGTGGTACTTGCAGAGGCTCTATGCTTAGCATAGTTGCCTCCCAGCGCAGTTGTTAGGAATCGCACTCGGGTCTTACCCCTTTGGCATCTCTTGTCTTCCCAACTGTGCAACGCCCACCAGCGCACCCAACAATATATGGCTCTATCAAGAACACCACCAGCTTAAAAGGTAATTAGATGTTAAATATTCATTCTATTCCATAATAATTTTTTATTAAAGATTATATTAGATCCATTAAATTTTAAATTAATGTAGACTTTATGATGTCTGCATTCGTTCAAAATCTAAAATATCTGATAAAACTTAATGAACACTTAGAGTAGAATTGAAGGAACACATAAGTTACAAGCTGAAAGTTGGCTACAATGTTTTGAATAGGCCCACCATTTCTCCTCGGGTTTATAATTAATAAAGACTACGTATTTATTTGAATTGTAGAACCAAGTAAGAGTTTACCCAATAAGCTACACTACTATTTGAATTTATTATTCAAATATGTTGAAGTATATACTAGGAAAATGTAGTGATATACTCCCTCCATCCCAAAAAACTTCTAGTTACTATTTTCATATGTCAAAATAATTATAGTTTCTTTATATATTTTCATCAATCATTTGATAAAATAGAAATAATCTTGTCATTACTTGTTTTGTAGAACTTTTGATGTAGTTTTTTAATATATAATTTTTATTTTTTAATTAAAAACAAATTTTTAACTATCTCTATTTTAAATAAATATATAGTATAAAAATATTATATTTCAAAATTATGTTTCAAAATGAATCTATTGATAATAAATTTATATGAAAATTCAATATATTTTTCCGTAAAATGTGGTTAAAATTTAAAAAATTTGACTGTAAATGTCAAACTAAGAAACTAATTTTAGGATGGTAAAAATATAAGAGATGAAGGTTAAAACAATTGAATTGCTTGGCTAATGTTAGCTTGGAATGGTACATTTGAATGGCTTTTTTGTTTTGACTGTTGGTTGGTTCTTACAACCTACAACAGGACTCTATGTAACAAGATATGGCCAAATAAGTTTAACATTTACATTCAACAAAGTATGCATTTTTTGTTACTGACAAAGTTATACACTTTGGATCTGAGAATGTCTGTTTTTTTTTTCCTTTTTTTTGCATTATATTTAGCTCATTTATGTTAAGTGTTAACCAATGAGTGTCATATCAGCAAGGAGATCTTCTTTGTAGGTTCATGTTTTTTCCCTCCTTTTCATTATAATTAATTCTACAAAAATACTAGAGGTACACCAAATGGGGTACCCCATTTGTAGCCCCTTCCATCTCCACCACACAAAGGCAAGAGAGGAAAAAAAAATTAAAAATGAAAAAAGAAATGGAGGGTTATGATGAGTGGTGTACAAATGGGGTACCCTAAATGGTGTATCCCTAGCATTCCTAACTCTATTACTACTACGTACAATACAATGTCTATACAAATGAGTAAATTTTATCAACTTATTGAAAAAAAAGAATCAACATCTACTCTAATTTAGAAGAGTCAAAGTAACGCCTACGCACCATAATATCCTTGACCTTTTTACCCTAAAAATATGAGTTTTGTATTACTCCTTACGTCCCATAATATTTTACTCATTTCGGTCAACGTGCAAAATTTCGTGATTTTGAAAATAATTTTATTTACAAATTGGTAAAAAAATATACTCTGGTATAAAATAAACAATTTATATTTAAAAACTACATCGAAAACTCTACAAAACAAGAGGTGACAATAATACTTTATTTTATCAAATGATCAATTGAAACACACAAACAAATAAGAGTTATCGAGAGACCGTAATAGTAAACGTGTAAAACTTTATGGGACGGAGGGAGTATAAGAATCTACTTAAATAAATAATACTGAATTAGGAAGTTTATATATCAAAATAACAGTTTATATGTTTCACCCTTGTTTAACCAGTTCAACCAAAAGCTCAAGTTTGTGATTGTATCTTAAGAAAGGTTTTTTATATTTTAACACGTTACCAAAATACTGAAAGTTTATTGAAATAAAATGTAAATGATATTTAATTTTATGCATAAAAGATAAAAATCTTAAGCTATATAAAACTTTTTAAATATGGAATATATAATTATAAACAGAGTACATCCTTTTGTGACAACCACCAAAATAAATTTGAGAAGATTAACATACCTTTTTTAATATTTTAATACACTTTTATTTGATATGCAACATGGGATTTTTGCTCTAGAGTTTGAACCCTTTTATTCTTCTTTTGATTTCATTGTTTCTAATACGGAGTATTAAAGAAGTTGCTTCTTACTTTAATTGTTTGAGCTTTAATTTTGAACTTATATTATAATTCAGTATATACTTTTTTCATGATTTATGACCAAAATGTATTATTGCTTAATCAAAAAAGTCAAAAAAAAAGCTTTTAAGATCCGAAAGAGTGCCATTTTGGCATCATATTTGTTGGTGACACATACTAACAATAATTATGTTTGGAGAGCACAAAGAAATACTACCTCCGTTCCAGAGTATTTGTCCACTTTTATTTTTATACACTATCCAATACACTTCTTCAATCCATTTTATCTTGTAATTTGTATATTAAAAAATTTTAGAAATTATATATTAATAATCTATATGTTAAGACAAATCAAATAAGATCAAACATGACTATATTTAGGTTTACACATTGAGAGAATTTGATGAGTCAAGGTACTTTGATAAACAATTTCAAAAGTCAAAACTGGACGAATATTCTGAGACGGAAGTAGTAATCAATAATGTGTATGTGTATTGTGTAAGAATGATGGTCCAAAAGCTTTCATTCCCTTTGTTTTTACGGAGTAATTTCTATCATACGTATTTCAAAAGCTGAGACTTTTTTGGGCTATTTATTACTCGTAATTATCTCCTCATCATATTCCTTCTTTTCTTCTTCTTTTTTTGTCACTTTCCTGCTGTTCTTTAATTACTTCTCCTCCTTAAATCAAGGGATTAAATGAGTGTCAAATTTTCCTGAAATTAAAACCAATGAAGAAGACGATGGAGCTCAATTTCTCGGCGGCTATGGCTATCTTCCTCTGCTTTTTCGTTGGATCCTTTGCGGGGTTGCTTTACGAGCAGGCCCAGCCGGCGGTTGAGCCGCCGGGAACTACTATCCAGGCATTTCCGGTTCAGCCGGAGACGGGGCAGAGGTGCAAGCTTGACTTCTCTGCCGAGCTTTTCGGCGGCGTGAAAGCCGCCTGCCCGTCGGGCAACCTTGACCGGAACCGGTGCTGCCCGGTGCTGGCGGCGTGGGTCTACGCGGCTTACGCTCGCTCGGCGCTTCAGGTCTCCGCCGCCGCGTCCCCGTCTCCTCCGTCGGAGCTGCCGATGATGCCGAACGACGACCAGTCGTGCGTCAGCTCGCTCCAGGACTGGCTCCAGAGGAACAAGATCGAGATTCCTCGGCCCAATTCCACGTGCGACACCGTTTTGTGCTTCTGCGGCATCCGCCTCCACCGCATCACTTCCCTCACCTGCTCCGCCGCCTTCAACGTCTCCGTCTCCGGCACCGCCACGCCGACCGCCGTGGTCACGGATCTCGCGCCGAACTGCCGCCAGCCCTCGTTTTCCGGCTGTACCCAGTGTCTAAAATCTCTCCAAAAGGTCAAAATCTTAAATTAAAAAGGATGTTATGGCAAAAAAATTCGATCTTTCTTAAAATCTTGACTGAAAATTACTTAAATTAGTCTTGAAATGTGCAGATTAAGGGCGGGGCTAAAAACGCGACGAGAAAAGCCCGAAACGGCGACAACAATCGGGCAACGAGGATGTTAAACGAGGATTGCCAGTTAATGGGGCTGACGTGGTTGCTGGCGCGGAACAAGACGGCGTACATTCCGACGGTGTCGGCGGTGCTGCGGGCCATAATGTACAGTGGGTCTCCGGCGGCGGACGGGTGGAAAATCGAAAACGCGAAATGCAGCCAGGACCAGGAGAACATGCCGTTGGCCGTCGACTCGTCGCAGCTCAAAAACGCCGATTCATCTTCTTCATCAATTTACTTTCCCATTTCGTCCTTAATTCTGATGATTAATATTCATATTTTGTTGATCAATTATTATTAATTTACTATTAGGGGTCCTTCGATTTGTTTTTATTTCCCATGTAAATCCAAGCTTCGTTTTCTTGGTTTGTCAATTCAAAATGTCACGGCCTATCTGATGAAACACTACAATGTGCCATTTTCTTACATAAAAAGAGGCGCCGTTTACTTTATTCCGATTTTGATGTGATAAATCATTTACACTTTACAAAATTGCAAGTTTTTTACATTTATTTTTATGGTTCCTCATAAATCTTCCCAATAGCTCTTTTTCTTAGTCCACAATAGATCTTCTCATATCATTTTTTAATAATTAAAATACCACAACTACTCTCACTTACTTTATTTATTACACCTCACCCACTCCATTTAATACACTCTACCCATTTTCATTAAGGTTATTATGGTAATCTTTCACCTTTTTTCAACTCTCCTTAAAAATCACCAAAAGTCAAAATGAGAACATCTTAGGGGGACGGAGGGAGTAAATAAAAAGTACATATTTAAAATGCGCACAAAAATTCACTTCTCATAAACTATTTTGACTTTTAATTTTTTTTTTTATAAAAATTAGTAAAATAAAAAGAATAAATTTTGAAATAAATAAAAATAAGAAAAAAGTGAGTAATAAAGGGAAATGTGAGAGTCTTATATAAAGTTAGATTAATACAACATTCTATGTGACTATTTTATTCATAAATGTTTAATAATAATTTAAAATATTGATATTTTCCTATATTATCATGTAAATTAATGTACAAAAAAATTATCTTATTCATATTAAAAAGTTGAAAAAAAATGAGTATGAATTGTAAAAATAGTGAGATTAAAAAATTATTTATAAACCATAGGTATGAACATAATTGTTGTAATAATTTAATAATAATCACATTAAAAATATATCATTTTTAGAGTAATTGGTTGGGGAGTAGAAATAATTTGGAGAAAATGAGATTAGTTGAAAGAAACTAGAAGGAACTGGAAGTTAAAAGTTTAAGCCTTAAAGCACATGCTCTAAAGTCTGCAAATCATTTAGTGACGGAGGGAGCATATATTCTCTCGAAGTGATTCTTATATCTCGTTTGACATCAACGTATAACATTAACGTTAACATTTTTAAAAGGTTATCTGATCCTTTAGTGTTTGCGTTTTCAAAATTAATCTACATCATTAAATTTTTATCCACAATGCTAACGCTAATAAAAAAACGTTATTCACAAACAAGGTATTAGGCTGTCTCCAATGTTGAGCGGTGCGCTCCCCATGAAGACCTAATCAACATTTCATAGCAGCTTTTATTTTAAATATTTTTCGCGGATACTTTTGACCCTCAGGCCTCAACAATCTTCACGGATCCATCCCTTAGGACAAACGGCCACAGATGGACGATAGACGGATGTTGCGGACAACGTTGCACTCCAAGCCGGGGGCGACCACGTCAGTGACGGGTGACACATGAAGTCTTGCATTGGAGACCGTCTTATTATTATTTCGATTTGTAGTTTATTGTTACAGCTACTATTCTAGACTATAGATATTTTGTTTCCTAGTATTTCTTTCAAGAAATGAAATGATAATTATGGAATGAATCGAGTTCTTGTTTTATTAGAGTTAGATCAAATCAAATCGGACTAGATTGAAAATAATTTTAAATATAACTTGAATCAAATTAGAAGAAACTTATAATACGAGAAAGAAAAGAACATACCAACTCTAATTATTTTTCTTGCTTTTTATCCTACACTTATTTGATTGATCTACGTAATTTAAGTGAAAGTATGTTATTTTAAATGAAGAAATCACCCTACATAGTACTCTAACTAATCTAATACTACGCATTTAGCACTGCTTATTGTTTTTTACCAAATTAGCTATTTATGTTGTCAATCTCTTCCAATCATACCCTTGTTGTCAATCTCTTTTATCTATCCCACTATCAATTGTTTCAATTTCTCTTTCAACTCCTATATGAAATTCGGACTCACATAATGTATACTTTGTGCATAGTGGCATAGTACTCTTTTTTATCAAATTATTTCTTCAATCAATTAAATGTAGTTTTGAATAAATATATATAATAAAAATACGATATATCAAAATTATATCATAAAAATATGCCAATTATAAATACTTCCTTCATCCCAAAATAGGGCTCTTATTCGATTTAAGTTATTTGATTGAAGTTATTTTCAAATCAATATAAGTAAAAATTGGTGTATAATTAAAAAAAAATAGGAATTATATATTAAAAAACTACATAAAAAATTCTATAAACAAGTGGTGACACTGGGACTTACATATAAAACTACCAATGTTATAAATTATTATTTGACTTTCATATTGTGCAAACAGCTTGTGGTTGATTTTATGACAATAGGGTTTTACAATGAAAGAGATTGTTATGAAATGTGTTACTCAATATGGTGGCTATAAATATATGGGCAGTACAGATTGATCATGTTCTGCAAACACTTTCTGGCATTGAATTTGTCTTATATATATAATGTGGCAGACAAGAGTGAAAATATGGCAGTGTATAAAAGTTCGTGGCCCAAACAAATTTGTATGTACTTCATTAACATCCATTAATAATATGGCAGTGAAATTAGACATACATATAAAACTGCCAATGTTATGAATTATGAATTGAGTTTCATATTGTGCAAAAGCCATGTGCTTCGTTCTATGACTATGGAAACGTGTTACTGAATAGGGGCTGATATTTTTTTGACAGTGTGGAATAATCCACTTCTAGCTACACTTTTTGGAAATGTCCTACGACCATGTTTGCCTAGTGTGTTTTGGTCAAATAGGATTTATATCTAAAAATCCCAATGTAATAAATTATTCATTGAGTTCTATTGGAAGCGGATACAAAAAAATCACAAAAATGACTAGTGCTTGAATAACTTTAAAAAACAAAGTATGAAGTGTAAGCTCAAAGATTTTTGGCAGTGTGGAATGCTTGTGATCTAGGTATACTTTTTGGCAGTGTGTTATGTCCTATGTTTTGGACAGTGTGCTATGTTTCACAATTCTACATAATGTTGCAGTGTATGCTGCTTACAAAGTCTTAAAATTTACAACATAATACCTTCATCATCCATTTTTTTTCAGTACCACATAAATGAAATTCAGCATATGTCTAATACTAACTTCTTCTAACATTAGACCAAAAGAAGCCAAGTCCATGTTTGGCCAGTGTGTTTTGGTGTAATAGATTATTCAGGAAATCAGTCATACATTTTTGGTCAGTGTGGAATTCATAAATGAAAAAATCATATACATTTTTGGCAGTGTGGAATTCATACATGAAAACAGTGTGGAATTTATACATAAAAAGAGCTATACATTTTTTGGGCAGTGTGAAATTCATACATGAAAATAATCATACACTTTTTGACAGTGTAGAATTTATACATGAAATCACTGCCACATAAATCAATGGACATTACACTACAACATGAAATTAAGGAACACAATAATACATTTACACACTGCCGTAAAATATAACAACATATGTCTATTCTACACTGCCACATTAAAAACTCACATATAAAAACCACACTGCCCACTACACAATTACGAGTGAACAACCACACTGCCCAAAATAATCATATTTTTTGGCAGTGCATAATGAACATTTCCTGTTTAATTGAAGGACAAAATCGGAATCACAGGTACGAAACATATAGCACTGCTATTTAGAGTATTTTAATGCTCTTAGAGTGCTATTTTGGTTTTTCTCCCTTTTAAATGTACTCTAATGGATAAAAAGATAAAGCTATTCTAAAATTAGAAATTGATGCTGATGGTGTAAATATAGATGGGTGGGTTGACCGCGTTTGACCTGGACACTTGACCCGTAATATAAAACACACAACAAGAACACAAAGTATGACCTAGACCGGGTAAATCTCCTCAGTCCGAAATATATTTCTTACTCTGTCTCAAGAGTGTACTAGTTTTTTAGTGAGAGAAAGAATGGATCCCCCTCCTCTATCCAATATCATCATATTTATAGAAGAGGATTTGTGACCTTCCCCTATTCATCCATGGACAAAATAAGAAGCTCGTGGGAAGGTCACTGTAGATAATGGAAGCACTGTACAATCATGGACTTGCTACTAATACAACCAAAAAGCACTGTTCAATCAAAGACTAAAATGGATATTCTCAATCCAATCAACCCTGCAAAATGACAAACATCCCTTTCACTGTGTGCCTCGTGATGGATGAGCGGTGGGGTGTCCCCTTGACCTCTGACGTGGTTCACCATGCCTAAGAGACTGGGCCAATGTTAGACAAGTAAAGTGATATGACCGGTCACCTTCTCTGAAAGGTTACCAGGTCATTTCTTGCGCTCAACCCGTCTCTTTGGTCTTCTAGAATGTCCTTCGTAAATAAGGTGATATTTTCGCTATCGCCCAAAATGTGACCGGGCACTTTTTTAGTGGAAGTGACCGGTCAACTTTTGACCCGTCCAAATCGAAGAGTTAACCTCATTTGATGATTGATAAAAGTGACCGGTCATACTTTGACCTGTCCTTTTCGGTTGTCCGGGTCGGGTATAGGGATATACCCATCAGATGCCAAAGTTTGACATTAGAAATTCATACCAAAATAATGATTATCTAGGCAATTGAGATATTCAATATTTCTAAAATACATGATATATGAATATATCCCTCCATCTCAATGTATTTGTCCAATTTAATTTTTTTGAGTCAAATAAGATAAAATTTGAACTTTGATTAAATAAAAATTATAATTTATATTAGTATAAAAAAGATTTTATTAGATTTATCTTATTGCGATATCATAAATTTATATAATTGTCTAATATACTATACAAATTGAGAGTAATTGGATCTTAAAGCATATCCAGTTTGACTTTTCGAAACCAAACTAAATTCACCATATATCCAAACACGATATACATCCAAAATTGAGTGGAAGTGAAACTAATTAAAATCTAATCGATCACAACTAAAACTAACCAAATCCAATTAAAATTGACCAAATTTGAGAGTGATATAGAAAAAAAATACAATCACAAAATTTTACTAGAATAAAATGAGAACTATAAAACCGATTTGATCTGAAAGTAATTGATATCTAATCAATCAAACAAAAGTAACCAAATCCAATTAAAATTGACCAAAATCAAATCTGAAAGTGATGTAGAAAAAAAATACGAGCCACAAAATTTTACTAATAAAATATGGAGTAAAATGAGATTTTTTTGGACGTTTAAAAAAAGTAACTCGAGATAAGTGGAATATGAGGCTAATTTTTAAAAAGATAAGAACTACAATACGAGCCACAAAATATTACTCCTTACTAAAATAAAATGAGAACTGTTTTTTTCAGTGTTTACAAAAATGAACTCGAGATAAAAAGAATATGAGAATGTGTTTTAAAAAGAAAAAAAAATTAAAATGTTGAGAGGGGGATTTGAACCCACGCCCTTTCGGACCAGAACCTTAATCTGGCGCCTTAGACCAACTCGGCCATCTCAACATTGGTGATAAGGCGCAGCACAGAGCGGTATATAATCTATGTTTGTTTTTAAGTTACACACTCACACTACTCTATGTTCCAAAATCTCACATTAAGCCATTGGAAAGTATTCTCTCCTGTCCATTAATAGTACAAAAATATATGAATAAATGAACCTAATGGGGAGTACCTTTTTTTTAGATATCTAACAATTAATTTATTTTGCATTTTTCCATTTTATATTCTAGGAAATAAAAATGAAAATATCAAATATCTGTTTCGAACAAATTTTAACACAATTTTCAGTTTTTTATCAAATATCTCTCACTTTAAAATATTTTTCTTTAAATATATAAAATCAAACTGTAAGATTTTTTAAAGTTTTTTTAAAGACAAACAAAGTACATTTTCAATGTACAACTTTTAATATTTAATTTTGATCGATCGTATTTTCATTCGGTTATTGATGTCTGTAAGATGTTGGTGGTTGTCTTTCAGTTTAGTTTACATTCTTTTATTCGACGTACTTTGAACATTATGGATCATAATTATGGTTGTGGGAGGATTCCCATATTACTCTCTAGTGAGTGCGGAGGAATATAATATTCCCAAAAAGGAAATAATGAATCTTTTTTGGACGGAGGAATATTCCCATTTTAACACATCACGACAAACAAGCACTTAAAAATTTGGAAATCATATAATATGGAGCTAAAATAACTTCAATGAAAATCAAATTCAACATATCAACCTACATATTAAATCAAATCGAAACTGTGCGATTCAACTAATTCAACAACCTTAAAAACTTGCACATCAATTGAAGAAAACTAGTATGAATCAACTCTTATTTATAAGAAATTTAATATCAACACTCAAAGAAGAACAAGCATGCACCCGCAAAAGTAAACCAACCATATATTTTTTAGGATCTTCGAAACGATTTAAAACAAGCAAACAAAATATATAGAATTGAATTGAAAGCAACACTTTTACTTACAATTGGAAAGAAATTGAACAAATTACAATATTGGAGATTGATTGTTGCAAAAATCAATCTCCATGTCTTTTCAGTGTGATTCCCCTCCCAAAATTGTTGCAACTCGCCTTTGATTTATAGCACGAAGAGAGTTTTCCCGTTGAATTACTTCATATTGGAGATTGATTGTTGCAAAAATGATGGAGATACATTGGACTTTCATTTTTGGTGCAACGTGCAGGGTACAAAAACTTAGGGTACAAATTTTATCTAGCTATAAAAGCCTACCCACCTTCGCAATTTAGTCCAATCCAACAATAATAGATACTCCGTATGTCATTAACAATTTAGCTAAACAATTGCAAGCACATATTACAACTTGTCATGGACCCATTTATGTCGACGAATGACCGATCAAAAACATTCGCATAAAAAAGGGGATCCAAAACTTAGTGATAACCCTACCATTAGAATTGATTGTTGAAGTGCATAGTTTATACTCCGTAATTTGATTTATAGATGACGAAATTTGGGAAAATCTTTCGTTAATTGATTAATATGAATTGAAGTAAGAAACCTACCGGATCTTGCGCACGAAGAATGATTTTTGGTTGCTAACAAAGATGACAATTTGGATGGAATCGAAAGAGGAAGATCGAAGAAGGAAAGTATTCAGCTCAGGTTGGAATTGAAGGTGTAATTTGAAGAACAGATTTACGAGCAGAAGCGCATAAGAAGGGTTTAGTCATGATAAATCATTCCAAAATGACTAAATTAACTGCTTTGGTCCCTCCAACAGAAAGCAAACGCCTCTTTTACCCACCATCTTCAAGTAATCTCTCCTCCGCCTTGCAACAGTATATCAATTCCGACCACCCAGAACAAGGCCAAACGCTCCATTCGCACATCCTGAAAACTGGGTTCAAACCCAACATTAATGTCTCCATCAAGCTCTTGATACTTCATATCAAGTCTTCATGCATCACCTACGCACGGCAGGTGTTCGATGAATTGCCTCACCTAACACTCTCGGCTTATAACTACATGATCTCGGGTTATTTAAAGAGTGGGTTAGTCCAAGAATCTTATGATTTAGTCAGGAAGCAGAGTTTTTCTGGTGAAAGAGCTGATGGGTTTACATACTCGATGATCTTGAAAGGGTCTACTTCTTTGGATTTAGTAGGATTGCGAGGTGGCTTTATTGCAACGCAGGTTCATGCCCAGATAATAAGATCATGTGTTGAAGGTGATGATGTGCTTTACACAGTTCTGGTTGACTCGTACGTTAAGAACGGGAAGGTACATTATGCTCGGAGAGTGTTTGATCTGATCTCCGAAAACAATGTTGTTTGCTCAACCTCAATGATAACAGGCTACATGAACCAAGGGAATGTGGATGATGCAGAAGACGTGTTCAAGAAAACGCGGGTAAAAGACGAAGTTGTTTTCAATGCAATGATAGAAGGTTACAGTAAATCCATCAAAACTGCTAAGAAAGCAATTGAATTTTACATCAACATGAAAAAATTGGGATTTAACCCCACAATTTCCACGTTTGCAAGCTTGATTGGTGCTTGCTCTGCTCTAGCGGCCTTTGAAGTTGGTCAGCAAGTCCTTGGGCAAGTAATAAAGACTAGCTTTGTTCAACACATAAAGATCGGAAGTGCTTTGATTGACATGTTCTCTAAATGCGGGCAGACAGAAGAAGCGAGAAGCGTTTTTGACCACATGCCCGAAAGAAACGTATTTTCTTGGACTTCGATGATTGATGGGTATGGGAAGAACGGATACCCAAATGAAGCTCTTGTTCTGTTCGACGAAATGCTCATGAACCATCATGTTAAACCTAACTATGTCACATTCCTAAGTGCCCTTTCAGCATGTGCACATTCCGGGCTAGTCGCTAAAGGAAAGCACATCTTTGAAAGAATGGAGAAGGAATATTCAATGAAGCCAAGAATGGAGCATTATGCTTGCATGGTTGATTTGTTGGGCCGGGCGGGGCGTCTAAATCAGGCTTTGGAGTTTGCGATAAATATGCCCGAGAAGCCCAATTCGGACGTGTGGGCTGCTTTGCTTAGTTCTGGTAGACTACATGGAGATATTGAAATTACAAATTTAGCTGCTAAGGAACTCTTTAATTTAAGTGGGAATAGTCGGCCAGGGGCTTATGTTGCGCTGTCAAACACATTGGCAGAGGCGGGAAAATGGGATAGTGTGAGTGAACTTAGAGTGTTGATGAAGTCGCGCGGGATATCAAAAGGCACTGGGTTCAGTTGGGTTGGGAGAGATGGGTTCCTTGAAGCTTTTCATGCTGGTTAAAAGATTCAGTTAAGTTCTGTGTTATTTATAAATTTAATCCAAGAAAGCACAGTAACTTTGCATTCAGAGAAGGGTGTAGAAAACTGTGATTGAAGGTGACTCCAGGCCAGCTATTAGGCTCTGTTTGGATGCCAAGGAAAGATGATTTCAGCTTCTTGTCCATGACCTGCTGAAGATTAAAACTTGTCAATCAAGAACATCAGTTGACTTGAAGCATGTGAAGAAGATGGGGCTACTGATTGGAAAATGCTACTTTAACGTCAGAGATGACACCAAGGTTGACACAATCACGGACAGAGTGAAATTATTGTCAGTGAAACCACTGATGTTGTCAACCTTAGTATCCTCCATGGTATGACTATAGCCTGATCCTGCTCATAATATGGCTAAAAAAGGTGTGGGTAAGAGATATTGAGAATGGTAGTACAGGACACACTCCTAGCTAGCTTTGTGTAGAATAGACAAACAGAGCCTTGTTTTAGATTTCTTCTTGAATTCATTCTTGGTTATTTCTTTCCGTGTGGCTGCTATACATTTTCCCTTTCAGCTTATTTACACTGTGTTTGGTTCAAAAAGGAAAAGAAAATGAGATGGAAACAAACTGTTCTTGTTTGGTCAGAGACGAAAAGTAAAGAAAATAAAAATGAGAATGCAAAATTTACTAAGTAGGAAATTCAAATTCCTCCCAATTTGGTGAGGAAAAATGACAGAAAATTATTTTCTTTTCTTTTCGTTCCAAATTTCTTGAACCAAACATGGTCTTAGCCACTCCAACCAAAATAGGATTCACCAAACAGGCACTAAAACAGTCATGCATCATCACATGTTGCTTCTACATGCATGAAAAAATACAATTAGATGGAAATGTTTAGAAGGTGTTTGGGGGTAGTGAGTAATGGAAAAGTAGAAGTCATGTTTTAAAAGCGGAAAATAGGTATTTTTAGCTTTGCTAGAAAGCACTTTTACACCTTAATTTCTACTTCTAAAGTCATAATTCATAAGCAAAAGCAGATTACCAAACAATTAAAATTATGTTTTAGTAAAGTAAAAGCTATATATTATATTCAAATGCACTCTCAAACACCCTTTTGGTAAAAGTTCAACTCACCATCAAGGACTTAGGCTCCGTTCTGTTCAACTTATTTTTTCTGATCTGATCTGATTTTAATAAGTTCTGATCTGATCTGATTGGATCTGATCTGATTGGATCTGATTTGATCGGATCTGATCTGATTGGATCTGATCTGATCTGGTCTGATCTGATTAATTATGATTTAATTTAAAATTTCAAATCAATAATTTGATTTGACTTTATAATAACGTTTGAAAATTGTATTGATAATTCATATTATAATATAATCAATATTTTTTATTTAATGATTATTTTTTAATAAAATAAAATTAGTTAATTCATATATTAGAATAATCATTCATATTATAATGTAATGATATTTTTTATTTTATGATTATTTTTTTGTGAAATTAGAATATTAATTTAATATTTTAATAATTACTTCATATATGCATTAGAATAAATATTTAATTTAGATATACATTAAAAAGTTATTAAATTTAGATAATCAATATATAGAAGAGATAGTATTTTTATTAAAATATCTCATCCTTATAAAAGATCAAAACTTTAGAAACTCAAATTACAAGTAGCAATAAAAATATATTTTAAAAGTAGAATTAGATTGACATTGTCAATGTATTTTAAAACAAATTTTTCCGACGTCTAATAATTAAGGATTACTTTCTCAGTTTTCTATTTAACCTATTTCTAAAGTTTATTCTTTTTCATTTTTAAGAACAATAATAATAATGATGATGATGATGATGATGATGATGATATTAATAACAACAACAACAACAACAACAACAACAATAATAATAATAATAATAATAATAATAATTCTTGATGGGATCTGATTTTAATAAGTCCTGATCTGATCTGATCTGATTGGATCTGATCTGATCTGATTTGATTGGATCTGATCTGATCTGATTGGATCTGATCTGATCTAATCTGATTCGATCTGATCTGATCTGGTGTGATCTGATCTGATTTTAATAAGAATAAGAAAAAATAAGTTAAACGGAACGAGGCCTTAGGACTTGTTCTCTTTTGCATTGTGGTTTTCTTGAATTTGAAATGTATCAGTCTTAAATGTCATTGATTCTTGCAATCATTAATTAGACATTGGGTACATAATTTTTTATAAAGAAAGAACTGAACGCAGGTGGAATAGGGTGGTCACAAATGGGGATTAATGGCGCGTATCTTGTTTGGCCAGGCTTGCGTGTTTAATTGAGTAGTCGATGCGCCGGCACGTCGGATTACTCCGCATTATTCATGAGGTCAACCCAACCTTCTGGAGAGGAGGACATTTATTGGTGACAACGGGTGAAGCAACACTGATTTTGTTTGGGCAACGCAAATACTCATTTGTTTCATCAATACAAATGAAAGGGGAGTGCTAGCACATATTCGAACCATAGAATGAAAACATACTAAGGATAACGTCTGGGTTATGATCAGCACGTCCTTGCATGGCTTATGTCATAGTTGGAGCTCTACCCAACTGTTGGGTGGGCTGCTACTACGACCTATGTTGTTGTTGCTGTTCCATAAGTTGCTTCAAGCCCTTGCTTGTCCTAACCACCTCTTTCGTCTGCTCGTACATGGCGATAAAGTCCTGTCTGTTTGTTTGTCATAGACATATTGATCTGCAGTTCAGAACACATGCCCTTAAAACTTGTTATAACGCATCCTGGTGGTGTTCACCAAGTCCTGGCCACCTCATGTTGTCCATCTTCATGTTGGTGAACTCCTCACGTTTCTCTTCCAAGAAAAGGAATGTACTCTTCATGGAAGAATCTATCAAAGTAAGCCCATGTTAAGTCCCTAAAGTTGGGGTTAAGTCCCTACCAAAGCGGATATCGAGGTAGGTTGCGGACTCCCGTACGTAGTTTTGAACCCTAGGTCATTAAGTATGCACTCATGCCTCATATGGCATGTATCCTATCAGACACATTGGTGATTCAAGATATTTAGTTCAGTTCTAATCCACCTAGGTACACTAGGTAGCGTAGTCCTCAATCACAATCCATCATCATTCACAATTCATCACCAATAAGCTAAGCTCCATTAAGCTAAGTTATAACATACTTTCATGCGAATCAATCATATCAAACAACGGCATATCAAATCAATAATTTTCGTTCCAAATTTCTTGAACCAAACATGGTCTTAGCCACTCCAACCAAAATAGGATTCAACAAACAAGCACTAAAACAGTCATGCATCATCACAGGTTGCTTCTACTTGCATGAAAAAAATACAATTAGATGGAAATGTTTAGAAGGTGTTTGGGGTAGTGAGTAATGGAAAAGTAGAAGTCATGTTTTAAAAGCGGAAAATAGGTATTTTTAGCTTTGTTAGAAAGCACTTTTAGACCTTAATTTCTACTTCTAAAGTCATAATTCATAAGAAAAAGCAGATTACCAAACAATTAAAATTATGTTTTAGTAAAGTAGAAGCTATATATTATATTCAAATGCACTCTCAAACACCCTTTTGGTAAAAGTTCAACTCACCATCAAGGACTTAGGCTCCGTTCTGTTCAACTTATTTTTTTTGATCTGATCTGATTTTAATAAGTTCTGATTTGATCTGATCTGATTGGATCTGATCTGATCTGGTCTGATCTGATTAATTATGATTTAATTTAAAATTTCAAATCAATAATTTGATTTGACTTTATAATAACGTTTGAAAATTGTATTGATAATTCATATTATAATATAATCAATATTTTTTATTTAATGATTATTTTTTAATAAAATAAAATTAGTTAATTCATATATTAGAATAATCATTCATATTATAATGTAATGATATTTTTTATTTTATGATTATTTTTTTGTGAAATTAGAATATTAATTTAATATTTTAATAATTACTTCATATATGCATTAGAATAAATATTTAATTTAGA